TTTTTGTTGTTGTTGTTATTGTTGCAGTTGTCATTGCTGTTTTAGCTGGGCAGGGCTGGATTCGAACCCACCACCCTTGGCATATGGGGCCGGCGCCCTTACCCACTGAGCCACAGGCGCCACCCACACCAGGCTATTTTTTAGAGACAGGGTCTCACTCTTTTTCAGGCTGATCTCAAACTTGCGAGCTCAAGCAATCCACTTGCCTCGGCCTCACAGAGTGCTGGGATTACAGGCTTGAGCCACTGTGCCTGGCCATGGGTTCCTTATTAACAATGAGTTAAATAAGACCTTGAACACACTGTCATTTTCTGTTTTTTTGAAAATTATCCTTTAACAGTACTTTCCTGAAAAGCTGAGAAAGGGTGTATTTGGCACTGTCAGCGACAAGGTAGCAGGCGTGACTCAATGCTACTGATGAATGGTGGAATGGAAATACTCAGATACAATGTGACCAGAGCTACATCTAACATTCATAAGAAAAAAAGACTGCACAAGGTATGCCAAAATGCGCTAGACCATTAGATGTTGTTCTTTATTTTATTTTCCAAAAATTTAAAAATACAGGCTGATGCTGCCTTCGTTAGAGAAATCTAGTGAAGCTGAAGTCTAAACCTGTGCTTTATTGATGGATTAATGATTGTTTTATGCATCTCGAATGGCTGGGGAGAGGCCTCCTGGTCTTCATACAGCCCTTGGGATCAGTGGGCAATTCCGCTGGTGAGTGAAGGAGCATCTGATGACATTAATAATGACAGTAAGAATAATAATAATGATAGCAATAAAATAATCAGTGTATAGACTGCTTCAGGAATTGTGTTCAGCAGTATCTCATTTAACCCTCTCAATAACCCTTTGAAGTAGGTACTATCAATATGCTCATTTTATAGGTGAGGAAACTGAGGAAATTAGGCAACTTAGGTGGTTTAGGTGACTTGTACAACTAATATGTGGTGGAGCAGGGATTGAAACTTGGGTTATGGCTCGGTGCCTGTGGCTCAAGCGGCCAAGGCTCCAGCCACATACACCTAAGGTGGTGGGTTCGAATCCCCAGCCCGGGCCCGCCAAACAACAATGACGGCTGCAACCAAAAAATGGCCAGGCGTTGTGGCGGGCGCCTGTGGTCCCAGCTACTTGGGAGGCTGAGGCAGGAGACTCGCTTGAGCCCAGGAGTTGGAGGTTGTTGTGAGCTGTGATGCCACAGCACTCTGCCCAGGGGGATAGCTTGAGGCTCTGTCTCAAAAAAAAAAAGAAAGAAACTTGGGTTATTAACTTCGTTGCTACCCTGTGTCACATGGGGAATGCTAGAAGGAAGTTCTCTTCTGAAAAATCATCCCCATTGCTGCATCTAGGATCTCAGAGTCAATTCATCCCTGAAGCATTTACTGGACTTCCTCTCTGTCCAGGCCCTGAGGCTAAGGCATGGCCAGAGTGTTCAGGTAACCCAGGAGCTAGGAAGAGTGGGTAAGGAGGGAGCACTGCCATGGGACACAAAGGAGGGGTACGGGCAGAGGGGAAGGGTTAGAGGGGCTTCCAGGAGGAAGGAGCAGCACACTCAGTCTTCAAGGACTAGAAGAGCCTGCCTGGTAAGCGAGTAAGTGTTGGTAAGGCATTCAGGGCAGAAGATCTGACCCAAGTCTACATATCCTGTCCTCCTGCCTCCAGTGTCTCCCCTGCTCCTGCCCTGGCTACCAGAAGTCATTGTGTTTGATGGGAAGGCAGGCCCTTGAATATGCCGGTTAGAGCCCACCTTTGCCCAGGATATGTAGACTTGGGTCACGCTAACTCAGGCTGACCTACAGATCGTTTCTTCCCAAGTCCTCATGGTGGGCAGTAAGATGCAGCCCTCAGAAGGCCACAGCAGTGGGTGTGCAGAGGGTGTGGGGAGAGTGGCCAGAGCAGGCCCTGGGAGGTCTGAGAAAGGAGTCTACACATCTCTGAGGTTCGGCAGGCCCAGCACACATTCCAGAACACTTGCCAGGGCCTTCTTAATTCATTTCTCATTTTCTTTAGGTTGTCCAAATTGGGTTTCTGTCACCTGTAACCCAAAACTCCTGCTAACTTGGCCCCTATGGTGGTCAGACTCAGGACAGAGTCATTCACGCTAACTCAGGCTGACCTACAGATCAGGAAGCTTAGGATGTGTTTACAAAGAGAAATGTGACTGCTCATTGGTCTGTCATGTCATTATTGCTGGCATCTCCTTTCCCTGAGGAAAACTCACCTGGATTGACAAACGGCCTCTGGGAACCTGCTTGATAAGCAGGCCTCAGTGCCAGCAGAGATTTTTACAGATAGTGGCTTCAAGCTAGAATTGCTCAGGGGTCAAAACTGTTTCTGTTAAGGGCCAGGCAATAAATATTTTAGACTTTGCTGAATCTGTTGCAGCTATTCAGCTGTGCGACTGCAGTGTGAAAACAGCCAAAGATGAAGCATAAATGAGTAGGCATACCTGTGTCCCACTGAAACTTTATTTATAGACACTGAATTTTGAATGTTATATAATTTCTTTCTTTTTTTTTTTGAGATAGAGTCTCAAGCTGTCATCCTGGGTAGGTGCCATGGCATCACAGCTCACAGCAACCTCAAACTCTTAGGCTTAAGCGATTCTCTTGCCTCAGCCTCTTGAGTAGCTGGAGCTATAGATACCCATCACAATGCCCGGCTATTTTTTGGTTGTAGTTGTCATTGTTGTTTAGTAGGCCTGGGCTGGGTTCGAACCTGCCAGCCTCGGTGTATGTGGCCAGCGCCCCACCCACTGAGTTATAGGCACCGCCTGAATGTTATATAATTTCTATGTGTCTTAATATGTTATTCTTCTTTGATTTTTTCAACCATTTAAGACTATAAAAGCCAGCTGAACACAATGGCTCATACCTATAATCCTAGCACTTTGGGAAACCAAGGCAGGAGGATCTCTTAGGACCAGGAGTTTGAGACCAGCTTGGGATTGAACATAGCAGGACCCAGTCTCTACAAAATAATAATAAAAAAATTTGTTTAGCATAGTGGCACATACTTGTAGTCCCAGATGCTCACTCAGGAGGCTGAAGCAGGAGGATAGCTTGAGCCCAGGATTTGGAGGTCACTGTGAGCTATGATGATGCCATTGTACTCTAGCAACAGAGGGAGACTCTGTCTCAAAAAAAAAAAAAAAGAGAGAGAGAGAGAGAGAGAATATAAAAGCCATTCTTAGCTCTCAGACCAAGCAAAAACTGGTGGTGATGGAACAGATTTGTCTTTTGGCCCTGTAGCTTGCCAGCTGTTGGCCTAGGACATGAACTCTTATGCCAAGAAAGAGGATGGTTGTCAAGGAGGCTGGACTTCTGTGTCAGCTGGACAGGAACACTGCTGGGGCTGCTGCCAAGCTTGTTGCACTGACTCCCTCTTCTCTGGCTATTCGGACCATCCTCTTTAGTTAACACCATCTTACAGAAGAAGTTAGGACCATGAGTCATTTAAGTGCTTGATGATAAGGAGATTTCAGGTCGGGCTTCCCAAATTTAGCCACAGACCATCTAAGGGCAGCTGTCCTGCCCCCAGTCCTTGTGAGAAACAGCTCATATAAGCCTATCCCACCTGTACAACTGTGGGACATAGTTGGCTACAGTCTCTGGCCCAAGGACTGACTTAGAAGCACGGGCTATCTTTTGAGAAGGGCCTTTTTTTTTTTTCTTTGGAGACAGAGTTTCACTCCGTTGCCCTGGGTGAGTGCCGTGGTGTCATAGCTCAACCTTAAACTCTTGGGCTCAAGTGATCCTCTTACCTCAGCCTCCTGAGTAGCTGGGACTACAGGTAGCCATGACCATACCCAGCTAGTTTTTCTATTTTTAGTAGAGGCGAGTCTCACTCTAGCTCAAGCTAGTCTTGCACTCTTGAGGTCAGGCTAGCCATCCACCTCAGCCTCAAAGAATGCTAGGATTACAGGTGTGAGGAACTTCGCCTGGCCTTGAGAAGGGTCTTAAAAGACCCAGAGGGAAGCTGCCATTAAAGGTGGGCTCTGGGTGGAGGTTGAGTAGAGTCGGGGGCTGGGGTGGTCACAGGAGGCCAGGTACCTGCTGAAGTTATGAAGGAATGGCGATTGTGGGTGAGAAAGCAAGATAGATGGGGAAAGATAACAGAGTGGTGCCCTGGAGGAAAGAAGACAGACTGCCAGATTGAATGAAAAGCAGATACAGCAGCTGAATCCCAGAACTTCCCCATTTTCTGGCTGTTCCTGAGGTTTGACTGGGGGTCTTCACTACATCTTTCTAACACCCCTGCCTCCTTCCTGGAGGAATCTGGGCAATCCCAACACCGCTCAGACACTCTCAAACCGGAAGCCCTGCCAGGAGCCCGGCCTTTCTGCCTCTAGGTGGGCTCATCGTCCCTTCCTCATAACTTTCTGATCTCACTCTTCAAGGGAATTTTGCCCTGCACTCTTAGTGTCTGCAGATTGGAATTTGCCTCAGCCAAGAAAACTCACTGTTGGGTGGCCTGGGCCTACCTTCCTGGCCTTTTGAATGGGTGTCTTGTAGCACGTACCATTTACTGAGACAATGCTGAACTTTATCTGAGTCCTGTGCCTCCCAAAGGGAGCAATGGTAAGTAAGTTCTCCCACCCCTTTAAATTCTAGGGAAATGACTAACCACAAAGGACCACCTTAATCTCACATCTTCAAGAAAAGACGGGCCTCCATCCTTTCTTACTAGTCCCATAAGACTGGCTGACAATTCCGTTTACTATTGTCTATCTAAAACCCGTTCCCTCCTTTTTCTTTGAGATGTTCCTCGTTAATGTATGCTCTCTCAATTACAATAACCTGAATAAAATCTTCTCTTTAATTGTCCATTTTGCTTTCCCAATTACCAGAGTTGTTTTAAACGTCAGCTGGGTGGGGCATCCAGAGTACCGGCTTCCAATCCTGGCTCACCGAGGCTAAGCTCCCTTTGGGGAGGTTCCAGGTCTCTGGAGCTCCCTAAGGGCCCCTTAGATTAGAAATAGGGTGAGTGTTCCTTTCCGTCTGGCGGCAGCCATCAGGTGAGCCAAGATGGGTGCATACAAGTACATCCAGGAGCTGTGGAGGAAGAAGCAGCAGTCTGATGTGATGCTCTTTCTTCTGAGGGTCCGCTGCTGGCAGTACCGCCAGCTCTCTGCGCTCCATAGGGCTCCCCGCCCCACCCGGCCAGATAAAGCGCGCAGACTGGGATACAAAGCTAAGCAAGGTTATGTCATATACAGGATTCGTGTGCGCCGCGGTGGCCGCAAACGCCCAGTTCCTAAGAGTGCAACCTATGGCAAGCCTGTGCACCATGGTGTTAACCAGCTAAAGTTTGCTCGAAGCCTTCAGTCTGTTGCTGAGGAGCGAGCTGGACGCCACTGTGGGGCTCTAAGAGTCCTGAATTCTTACTGGGTTGGTGAAGATTCAACATACAATTTTTTGAGGATATCCTCATTGATCCATTCCATAAAGCTATCAGAAGAAATCCTGACACCCAGTGGATCACCAAACCAGTCCA